GGTAAGAACAATCATGAAGAGAACCATATATAGTTTTTATGCTTTCGCACGCGTTATCAAAGACTAATTTCATACTTAAAGAAAATGTAAATAGAAAAATGTTATAACTTTTGGTAACAATGGACATGCATGTATATATTTGGAGCCTAAAGTGAATTAAACAAAAGCAAATTGAACCATTATAGTTTTATTCATTAATTGTTGCCTTACAAGGATTATAAACGTTTTTTTCGTAGATTTACAATCGTTGATGGATTGCGACGACATCTTGTTGCTATTTCACATCCCCGTCTGTATGGATTCGCCGGTACTTTGGGTGGACACTTAGAAACATTAGGATTACAAGGAGCATCGATATCGTATCTAATTACTGGATACCCAATTCTGTTTCCGACTGTTACGTTCATGCTGCTCATAAACACGCAAGCAATAAGAAGTATTGCCACAAGCATAAATCTACTTGTGTTTTTCGAATTCCTCATGATTTGTGTAAAAAGTGTAGTCGTGTATAGAATAGGTTATACAATGTTTGTGTTTTTAAAAAGTCAATTTCAATTAGTAGTATTTATAATATAAATTTTATGAAAGATTATTCAAAGTGACTAATAATATTTAAAGTAAGTATTAAAAATGTAATATTTTGGTTGAATAACATCAGAAGAATTCATTTTGACTCAATATACAGATGCATTTGCCTCATGAACCAAGATGGTCAATTCAACAAATTTCGATACAGATGTATTTGTCTCTAAAAAGGAAATCTGAAAAAACCTTCTAATTTTATTATTGAAAACAAAATCCAAAAAGAATTCTATAAACTACTACATCTTCAATTATGAAAGAAACAAAATAAGTTAAGTTTTGTGGCTTCATCATGAAATATAATAATCAACGTCAGAAAAACAATACATCGAAATATTTATGTAGACAAATTAGAATACGTGACTTGGTTTTTTGGTATTGGGCTTGAAGCAAATATAATATTTTTGTAAATTTGTATAATTGATTTGTCTAATGGATGATTTTCTTGGATTTAAATAATTTTTCACTCAATGTTTATCACGAGTTAACATAAATATTTTTATGAGTATTGTGGAAAACTGATTAATATTGTTCGTTCTATATAGTTAATCGTTTAACATTGTTCAGCTTCTACCATTCGTTTACTATTCACCGTCATCAAACTTTTGTGTTTATTATAACACATTATTCACTTATCTATCGTGTATATGTTAATGACAATTATGTAATCATTTATTTAAAATGATGGTTAAAATTTCTTATAATATTTTTTTCCTTAACAATAAACTTATAAACTGACTAAATTTTTCAATCGAAAGAATGCCACATCTAATGTAATGTGCTAGTCTC